AAAGTTTATCCGAACAACCCCAGTCCCCAATTGATTCGGATAAACGACGCTCTACTGTATTAGATTATATATATGTTCTAATATTTCTTGAAATGTAGATTGACCTATTGTCTATTTTTTTCTTCAATCCCAACGAAATCCAAAAGATCTTTGTGGAACTTTGTTATTTCTTTGTCCGGAAATTCTTCGGAGGAAGCCATGTACTAAGGCCTTCTATTTTCAAATTGGCTCGCATCGTTTTATTCGATGTTTTAATGAATATATTATTTGTAGATTATTACTGTGACTGATGGGCTTTTGGCATCCTGTTATTCCAGCATTGGTTGAGAACACTTCTGAAGATTTATGTGAAAGAAGCTTTGAACAGTGATCATTGATAATATTCTTTTAACCTCTATGTCTTTACTCTTTTATCCTTTTATACAGGCGTATTAAAAAAAAAAAAAAAAAACATTATGTTATGCTTTCTTATGGATACTTTATGTCTGTATTGGTGTTGTATTAATAGTAGACAATAAAGGTCCTGTAACTTCATCTTTATCTTAAATATCTTTAAAAAACAATAATATTGTACTGTACAAAGCTTTAAAAATTGTTATAGAATATTGTAAACCTGCTGAAGAGGGACCTTCAAGTCTGAAACACACAGTGTACAAGTAAAAATAAAAGATATTTCGTTTTGACTTTTTGACTAAGATCTCCTCTATTTGCTAATAGGAAACTATATCAGTATAATAAGTCTTATTAATAAACAAGGTCCAAGTAGACAAAGATACAAACAGAAATTTATTGACAATATGAATTTAATGCTCTGTTTTGATAGAATAAAAAGTAAAGTATCAAAATTTTTAATTTATTAATAACTAGCTTACCCGTCGCGCATTGCTGCGATCTCAGAAGAAAGGAAAGTCAAGCAAACTCATTATGATAAAATTCAATTTACATTTCATCATTTTTATTGAAACTTATTAATATTAATTTTCATCGGGAAAACATTTCAAAGTGTCGTTTTAATTCTATTTATTTATTGGAGTGCTTGTGGATACACGATATTTTTTGTTTTTCCGTCTGGTGCGTACACGAATAAATCAGAAGGTTTTCCGAAGCGTGAGCTGGCCGCATACAGTTGTCCATGCGAGAAGCACGGATTCTCCAAATTTAGCCCACACACTCGCAGCGATTGTCAGAAGTGCGATATTCCCCATTTATATATATGTTACCGCTAAAGCTCGAAATCCGTTAATGTGTACATTACCTAGCTAATCTGCAGATTAACTGGGGTGATCCGTTAAAGCTGCGAAAATTGTTCAATTTCTCAAATTACCTAGGTAATTTGCAGAGTATCTAGGTAATCTGCACATTAACGGCTTCCGTATCGTTAAAGTTCAAAAGTTTGTTTCTTTCACTTCCTTTCCCCACTCCTTCTTTTTACGTAGATAAATTTAAATCCTAGAATGCAAGCAAGCACCGAATTGGTGAGTAAAATCAAGAAAAGATTCTTCGCAAACCTCTTTAGC